ATTTTTTTATAATTATATTTATTATATTATTTTTAATTAAATTAAAATTTAAAATGAGTAAAAAATTTATCTATACTCAAATTGAGTTTTGAATTATTTCAAGTTTGAATTGATTAATCTATATTATTTTAACTATAATTTTATGACATAGGTAATAAATTTTAAAATAGAATGAGAACATAACACAATGAAAATTTTAGTGCAAACGTGATTGAGATACTAATAATAATTCTAGAAAAAAATCCTTTATGTTCAAGTCTTGGAAAGATTAAAGAATATATCTCCTTTTGAGGATTTTGAAATTTGTATCATAGAAATACTAATCTAGATTAATGAGTTTATAATTGTTTATTTGTTGATCAAGTTGTTGTTATATGGATTGAGAAAAATAATTCAAACATTTCATTTCAAAGAGATACTCTAGTTTAAACTCATTTACGAAGATAACATGTAGTTAAATATTATTTGAGTTATTATGATCCTTTCTATTTTTTTTACTCTTTCCAAATGAAGAAGTTAATCAGCATCAAAATATTAAAAAATTATTTTGAATATGGTAATAACAATAAAGCAATAATTAAGAATATACCATTTTTTGGTTCAATAGAAGAAAATTTTTATGGAGAATTACATCATCTAGCATATATTGTGATTATTTTCTTTTTAGATATACATAAATCAATGATAATATAGTAATGGATAATTAATAACTTAATAATTAATCATTAAAAACTTAAACATAATCAATATAACTTATTGGTAATCATTGATAATTTAATAATAAATTAGTTATAACTTAATCTAAAATAAATAAGAATTTAATAGTCAATAGTTAATAACTTTTTAGTAAATCTATAATAATACAATAATAAATGCATTACTTTAATGGTAAATCACTTATAATATAATTATAAATACATAATAACATAGTACTAAATTAAGGGTAATAACTTAATAGTTAATTTTTGATAACTTAGTAATTAATCAAGAATAACTCAATAGTAAATTAGTGATAATTTAATAGTAAATCAATTTCAGTTTAATAGTAATTAATTGATAGTAGTAAATATTAAATAATTTATTAGTAAATCAATTATAAATTACTAGTAAAAAATTGATATTTTAGAGTTATTCATTTAAAGCTTAAAAGTAAATCAATATAACTTAGTAGCAAATTATTGATAGCATAATAGTTAATCATTGATGTAGATACCGATTTTGTCTGGGTCTACCATTTTTAATAAAAAATTATTAATAAGCAAAACCAAAAAAAATATAATAAACAAACAAAAGAAACAGAATAAGATAGAAGTCAGGGAGTTGGTACGGCGCCGCTGTCGCCAGCCCCCGACCAGTCACCCTACAGCCACCAACCAACTACCTTACAGAAACCTAGATTCCCCTAATTGAAGCCTTTAAAAATCTCCAGCCATTTCCCCTTCAAAGGAAGAAAAAAAGCTGGCTGAAATCCCCTTCAATCTCCCTCTGGAATCCCCATTCAACCCCAGACAGTCCCTCATTTCTACGCGTAAAAAACTCAGTTTCACGCAACCCCTCAAAGCACCCAAACCGAAAACAGATCTACACAAAACAGAAAAAAAACAACACAGTCCTCCTCACAAGGAGGAACCCAGCGCCGAAGCTACCTGCAAAAGCAAAAAAATTGCATCAATCTTATTTCAACAAAACAAACAAAAAAAATTTTGAAAACAGAAACTTTGAGCCCCGATCTACGCTGATCAGGGCTGTTTCCGGTGAAAAGGAGACCGAATCTGAAAAGAAGGCGTCTCGAGGAGTCTTCGTGACCTTTTGACCATTTTTCAATCACCCGCGACCACCGCCGACGGTGGACCAGGCGGCGGCCGACAAGGTGATCCGAAGGTCGGACGGCAACCGGCCGAATCCCTCCCCAGAGCCCTCTCTCTCTCTCTCTCAATTTTTTTTCTAAAAACAGGACCAAATGAACAAAAAAAATTTTTCAAGTTATTTATAGAAAAAATTAAAAGCAAAAAAATTTTTTTCAAGTTATTTA